TACACTGGATTTTGATCTTCGACCATTAAGAATTCTTGGAATTCTATTAAATCAACCTTTCTTTGGTGGACTTCATAGGACTCCATCGGAGATTAGACTTGAAGATGATCCTTATGTTCCTTTGTACATATGTGACGTGTTGTGGTCATTGGCATTGCCACTCTACGCTAATCGAGATCATGAATTTTGTAACCCGATATCTGGTGGATCTTTCCTCGGAAGGGTTCCACGTTTACCGAGGGTCTTTGTAAAAGCCGACGAAGGTGACCCCTTCGTCGACCGAACAACCCAGTTAGTAAACTTGTTAAAGGGATATAAGGTATCCGTGGTCTATCAACATAATCAAGGTGGTTTTCATGGTATCGAGCTTCAAAACACGACTGCTGCTCAAATTTTGTACAACGATATGAAGCTTTTCATCGACTCTACGACTACCAGAGTTACCCACAATGAAGAATATCATGCTGCTTACTAATGGTTTCTAGTCTCCCGTTTTTTACGTCTTGCTCTTGTAGCTGTGTTGTGTTTCAATAAAATGTATTTGGGGTTTGAAATCTTGAATAAACTATGAATGGTCTGTGTTCAATCCAGATCAGATTAATGAATAAGGTTGTAGAACGTTTAATATTTGACAAAATTAAAGGAAAAATCAATAAGAGAAGCTTCACATTCTCTATAACAAATAAAACTTTAACTCTGTTCTTATTAACTTTGGCAGTAGAGATCCAATATAATGTAAGGAAAACGTTTGCATGAATGATAGATAGAATTGACATCTTTGAATTGCAACTTTTGTGGCTATATTCAATCACTAGCATAAAAGAAAAACATATCTTTCGTGTAAATAGAATACGCCTTTGGCCTCACAAAAATAGACTTGCATATTTCAGTTAACAAGAATATAAATTTCAGTTAATAAGAATGACAAAAATAGACTTTCAATTTCATGCATATTTTAAAAAATGCAATTAATATTATTAAGAATATAAATTTCAGTTATATTTTTTCTACACCAATGGTTTACACTTTAAATAGGTACATTGGTTGATAATAAGGCACATTAAATAGGGATATATTATAAAATTAAGAAATCAACTATGATCTCAATATAAATTTATCTTTACGGAAACGAGGGAATATAATTATGGAAAGTGACCTATAAATTTTTTCTTGATTCAACTAGCAACAACTTTCTCAAATAGCAAAGCACGTATTATACAAAATTAAACACATAACTCTATTTTTTATTATTATCAATAAAATACTCATTGATGTGATGTGACGCGATTCTCATTCTCATTCTCATTAAATTTTATTTGTTTTCTTATGGATATTAGGGTCCATTTGATTGACAAAAGTGGAAAAACTTTCCACTTTCATGTAAGTTGGAAAATAAAAATTCAAGTACTCTATAGAAATGCATTTTACATGGAATTGACAAAAAAAGAAATTAAACTGGTTGTATCTTGGAATTCGAACTTCATTTTTACTTTCGTTTCAAACTGCCAAAGTAGAAATTGAATTTCTCTGATGTGACATTTTTCATTAAATTTAAACCAATCAAATGGACCCTCTGTATAGCCATATAATCATCTTAACATCCTATTTTTAGTATGTCATGACAAGCTTTTAATAATAATAATTGTGACAACAAGTCAAAAGTTTATGTATGACATTTTCATTTCATGAACTTTCGATTCAAAATCTAAGATAAGATGGATCAGATTAGGGATGTCAATCGAGTTGAGCGGCTCGTCGGCTCGGCTCGTACTATTCATGCCCACGAGCCGCTCGGACTCGTCAAAAAATGAGCCCAAGCACGAGCCGAGCGGGCTAGCTCGCACTATTCACGAGCTGCTGGCGAGCCGCTCGCAGCTCGTGGGCTCGTGTATATATTAAAAAAAAAAAAACAACAAAGAAACCAGAACGGTCATTGAAAATCAATGACCGTTTGGTTGGACATCACCACAAAAAACAAAAACAAAAATTCATCTCAGAATTAACAAATGAGTTCAAGAATATGTTGGACATCTCATCAATGAAGACCTTGTCTCGTTAAATATATCACACCAAGTCCAAACAACACCACAAAAAATTTCAACGAAAGTCCGATCTCCTTTGTAGATGGATCATTGAAACACTATGAAGAAACCATCGAACACGTTATTGGCTTAAATACAAC